ATGTTCTACGCGTTTTGATGATCGTATCGAATCTTCGTATTGTTGGTGTTACATGAAAATTTTCTGGCGTAATAATGAAATAAAGTTTTTTTTATTTCAATTATTTATTATGAGTCAGCGGAGAGTGACAGGGTCGAAGAAGTATTCTGTATAACATAAGATATGTAGTTTTGATTTAACTCAAATAAATGACGCAAGATTGTTAACGGTTGCGTGCAAGTATTATGAAACTCATTGTTTTCTTTAAATATATTAATTATTGCCATTGCAGAGACGTGTTACATATTGGAAAATAATCATCGTCGCTCATCGATAATCACAATGCTAGAGGCATAGCCAAGCCGCTGACTTCTGCTGAGGACTCTCTAAAATCCAACCTAAGAGAAACGAAAATGGCACTTGTAAAATCGTTTGAGCATTAATTAACCATTTCTTGTTTTCTGTGATATATTTAAACGATGTTTTTTTTCTTCTTTAAAACCCGGAAGCGGTCGACAAACGAATAGAATCAGTCTATCTGCTTGCGCCAGCGGACGTTGGACGACGCCGCTCTTTTACGACTATTTCCAGATGTGTCGCTGCTATAAACTTCCTGAAAGATCACTACCTATTTATCGAGACGATCAAACATCAAGTTTAGCCGATGAATTCAGCCAAGAATTAAAATTGGAGCAAACGCTAAATCATTCTATATACATAGGTATTTTTTTGGGTAATTCGCAAAAGCAAAAAAAATATCACGTCACCTACTTATATGATATATATTTAAGTGTTTTTGGAATTATTCTTAAGGCTTTGGTTTATTAAGTATCATAGGGTCCCATACGTGACCACATATCATAGACTGGTTTATGGTTTCATGAAGCAATAAGTAACACCGTTAGTGATCTAACAATACTTCGGCTTGGCGTTGTGTTCGGTCGTTGGTCCCACATCACCCGTTTCCTAGAAGGTAAGCGGACACAGTTTAAAATAGTCACGGCCCCTTCCGAGAAGCGTGACTCACTCCGGGACCGTCCTGGGCCGCATCTGGACCGATCTGGACCGCACTATACACCGCGATCGTTTATATGTAGGTTAGTTACTGGCACACCAATATACGAACAGCATCAAAATCCGGAAAACATCATAAAATCTCCATCATACTTGTTCAATAACTTTTCAAGAGCTCCACAACAAGTGTTACTAGAGCTGTTCATTTGTTTTGTTAAGTTTTAACTTTTAAACTAGCGATTGGCTTGTTCGAAATGATTAAAACAATCGATATATTATCGTAATCGGTAGTTAATATTTAACCTCGTTCCCTGACTTAACAATCGAGTTGTTCTCGATTGTCCAGACTCGACTAATTGGCCACTACGTACGTCCATTTGCTTGTGATTTTTCGCTAGCATCGCATTGTATGAAGTCCTTACTATAATTATTTGGTTTTATTTGAATATCTAGGATTCGTATCCATCCTATCGGCTCGTGTCGCATGTTCCAGATGTTACAATTGAAATTCGTGACAGTCTCTATCTCGACTTGGCTCTATTGCGAAAGAAAACTTTCAAGGACCGTTCAGCTCACTGAGTTTCTCGCTTGATCTTTTCAGTAGGTCGCGTTTCCGATTCGGCGGTATATTCTGCGAAGCACTGCTCTTGCTAGGACCAGTGTTAGCAACACCTCCGGTTTGGGCCCCGAGTTCTCACCTACACGCTAGGGCAACGCTGAAATAGCCTCTCAAGGCTCTCAGCATAGGTAGGGAAGTTTTCAAAATTAGAACGATTTGAATATCTCGGAATTACCCATTCTATTCGTACTCCATACGATCCATCGAACTACCCAATCACGTATAATGTTAATATAAAAAAATTACATCATTTACATCAGTTACTAACCCGTATATAACTAACGAAAAAAATCGTTCAATAAAAATAAAGACAGAATAAAATATATGAATTCAATTCACAGAACGTCTAAACTGTTTACCGAAATAATATTTCATTTTGACAGTTCTACAAAGGAAATAGGCACTAAAACTTATCCTGTTCAATTTCAAAGAAATCACCAGCTTTCCGCAAAATAAATACTAATTCTCTTTGTAGAATTACTGGAATAATCGAATTACGTTTTGAATGTTTTCTACAAAATTGTACAAGAAAATGGGAACTTAAATTGAATGGTTATTTTCGGGACAATAAAACGCAATTCACCGTAAAGTGGCCCCACCAACCAATCGAGGAAGACTACATGATTCATACAATAAATTTGATGATAGGAAATACTGCAGCAATAAATTTAAACATTCGAGAGTAAATAAAGTAAATAATGTAGATGTGTTAAGATAATAACCGGGGTTTCACGAGCAGGTATAAGTTTCTTGTTACACAAAAAGAGTCGATATGTATGGGAGCTGAGTAATTGAAATTAATTCGGTGATTCTTTGACCGATTCACAAATGAAACATTTATCAGTGTGTAATTAGAAACTCGTGACATTTCAAATAAATTAGGCGACCTGATGTGATTACAATTTGTTTTCGATTTTGTGATGTTTCGCCCACGCAAGCATGCATTTTATGCATTTCTACCGTGTTTACGATGCGCACATTGTTTTGCTTAAGATTTACTTAGGGAAGAAAATACATTAATATCTGTTTTCAAATGACCTGTTGCTTTTAAAACTTTTACGGCTTTTACGTCGAGGTTACTTTTTAACTTTTTTTTGATTTTTTGTTTATTATGAGGTCATCTTCATATTGATCATGTTAAGGAATGCGAACAAAAAGTCTTATCACCAATTACCCAAACACAATAGTATTATTAGCCATCCATAATCTGGGATCTTTGTACAAATGAGTCAGAGCGGTTGGTTTATTAAGAAAAACTGTTGTCTGAGATTTTTAACTGATACCAGAATATAGAGTTATTTCGTCAAGTTTTCCACAAAATCCTTATGTACATATAAATTACTTTAGCGAAACAAAATTTTATATCGGAAATAGAGTTAGCTGGTTTTGTTTCTTAAACATATTTAAATTTAAAGATTTTTTTAATTCTGCACGATTTAGTTAATTTTCTTCTAATTTATAATGTTTAACATACTTGTTTAAAGATAAGTATTTAAAGTAGATATGTAGTATAAAGCGGTTCTTAATTTCGTCAGAATTAACTACAGGAGACTTACCTGTAAAATTTTCGTCACATCCATATTTTAAATTACTTTAGCTATTATGAGGTGACAATTTTTGCTGACAAATAATTATGATAGAAATACATAAATAATTTTACACATTTCACCCAAGGCGGATTCTTTGTGCCGTGTTGTGGCTACTGAGACTGAGACACAAAAAAAAAAACAAGTATTTTCAGAACCAAACATGAAATATCCATATATATGTCACAAAGATCGCGAATATATATTTAAGTGATTACTAGCCAGACCAAAGACCTAGTATTTGGATGTTACACAAAACAACACTAACAAAAATTCAGCCACTGAACTTAAATGTCAATTTGACACAAAATAAATTTTCCATTTCAGATAGTTTAGTCACAATCAAAATACAAAAATTTCACTAATAACATTCTTGCTAATACATAAATATAACAAGAAATGGAAATACGTTTTAACACATTTGAAAACGATTTTAAATTGAACAAATTTCGTTCTATTTCTAATATAAATTTCAAATATTAATAAAACGACATTATCGTTTGATCGTACAAGATGAATAAACTATGACGCACGTGACTCAGACCAGATGCAATGTCCTGGCGAAAGGACTAAGCTATTTCGATGCTATTACTCATGCGATGCAATGATACATTCGGACTGGTTTAGACGACAGATCAGATCAGTAAACAGTAATGCGTGTCTTGTTTTTGTAGGGAAATGAACATGAACCTTCTGTTTATTTAACCTTGGTTATCTTATACCTGTATTTTAATGACAGAGATGCTCTGGGTAAATTATTATGTGAAGCTTATGTAGCAATGATTATTATGTAAAGATTTTTTCGATATTTATTTACTTTTTGATGCCGCCTATTGCATGATTGATTATAAATGAGATTTTTAGAACCAACCGCATCGCACTTATATGTTAATCGGTGGTCATTTGAAAAGTTGTCTATGTAAGAATTGACCTATATTAAATAAATTGTCTATGACGAATTGTTAACCGTAAAGACCAGTTAAGCAGGACACTGAGAATTTTTAGCTGCCTTTTAATTATTAACGTCCTGAATTTCAAATAATAAGTTTAATATTAAAAAAACACCACGAGTTTACGCGCACGGGTGGTAGATTAGTAGACGGTAGATTAGCCACGATTGACGTCATGTGTTACCCGCTAGGAATATTAGTTTTATTCCTTGAACTAAAAATTTAAGGTATCAAGATTCAAATTAATTAACAACTGATCTTTATACCACAAGTCTCCATTAAATAAAACGAGGCTACGAAACCGATAATCTCAGAACCTTCAGTTTAGTAATGACATTTCAAATTTTTAGATGAACTTTAGAAAAACTTTTAGGTCAAGTAAAAATGTTCGTTTTCAACAAATTAATGTGTCGACTCGTTATTTTTACTTGATAAGTCAGCACGCACGCAAGCAAACCGTTGTCGGCCGTAATTCGCAAAGTCTATTTAATAATATAATGTGCACGTTACGTGGGTCGTATATCTCGGCTGCTACAAGAAAAGAGTTATGTCAATGACATTGCAAAAAAAAAAAAGTTTTCTCTTGTATGAGACTTGTTAGTCAAAACATAATTTTAGAGCTCATACATTATTCGAGTGTATTCATGATCTGAACATTTAAGAGGAGCACATTACGTTGTACGTGCATACCTATTTATACCGCGGTGCTAGTGATTCACTGTCTTCGATATATTATTTTTGTATTAAGCACAGATGTATTGTGAAACACCGCAGTAAGGTCTACGATACGTAACGTTTTCATTTATATAAATACAAAATTTTATATACAATTTACAATTATTTTTATTTATATTAAATCAGTTTAAGCACGCAAACAAACCAGAACAAGTTCAGAGCCGGCATTTTTTTTTTTTTAAATTTGTTGTGATTAGTTGCTAGGATATTTTGATCGTACTCACCGCCGATGTAGTATTTGTCGAAACCAGGATGATTCCTCACTTCAACATAATCATCAAAATGTATAGGCGCATCGATGATTTCCCAGGTGTTCTGTAATAGAGCAAAAGTCAAATTTTAAATGGAACTTTCAAATATTGAATACAACGTAATAAAACAGAACGGCCTTCGGCTACTCCCCGCTACGTAAAACTACTTTGTAACAGTTCAGGTGCACTTACAGGATCCACGTCTATATGTAATGGCGTTTGTATGCTCGAATTGATCGGTCTCTGCGTTACATTTCCATTGTATTCTCTCACTGGTGTCATTGGACTGTTGGTGGCGCTCAATCTGTCATAATAATTCTGGTTGCAATCTTCCTTTCTGAGCAAGCTCGAGTTACTCATGACCGAAGGACTTCGGGTCGGAGACAGTTTATCAACCTCCCTCTTCCAATAAGGATCCGTATCTATATGTCGCGGATTAATGTTTCCGATGTTGTAATTGGGGATGGGCGAGAGTCTCCGCGGAGATGAACTCTCGCTGAAGACGACAGGACTTTTGATGACTCGCAACGAGTCCTGGGGTGTGCTGCCCTCGCTTGGCACGTAGGTCCTCTCTGAAGGCACGGGCGAGCTCGATGTCCTGTTGATGCTGATCGGCGATCTTCCGGCCTCCAGAAAATCTTCAGACTTTTTGAAGTGTTGAGGAATCCTAATGGCACCGACCCTGTTATGGGCGTCGGACTCGTCCTTCGATAGTGCCGTCGTTTTGGGGTGCGCCTCAGCGGCCATTATGTTCTGTAGCTTACTCACTTGCGTCTCGACGTAGCTGCGCGGTCTGGACGGCTGTAACGGGGTGTCGATGTTCCTGAGTACGGGGTCGGAGGTGCTATGGTCGGGGTACTGAGTGGGGATGTGTACTTGAGACAGTATATCGTGTTCTGTGTCAGTGTCGAGGCTGTCTCGAGAGCCACACTCATCCTCCGAACACTCTGAGTCGTCCACCTCGCAGTCGTCGTAGTTTATCGGCGTGTCAGCACCCGGAAAGAACTCGCATAGTGCTGACATTATTTCCGTCACCTGAAAAAAGTTTCAAGTATATCAGTGTTTGTAAAAATCCTAAAATGTTAGTAGATGAATATAAAAAAAAAAATAGGCATTTAAAAATAAGCCCACGAGAATTATAATATGTGTAACTGCCATTCAATTGAGACATATACACCACAAGCTGCATGGCAGCATTCACATTGTAATGTCTATAGGTTTTGGTAGCCAAATAACATCAGATGGATTCATACATTTATGAAGTTATTTTTTTTGCGACATGCACAAAGTTCAGTTACATTTTCGTTTTGGTAATTCTGTTTGTAAGATGTTTGTAAAATGAAATCCAAACATAACTGTCATACATGATTTTATAAATAATAGTCTCACTTATAAAATAGCTTCAGGTGAATGCTGAATTCTGACTCTTTACTGTTTAATATTTGATGAAGTAAAATTTAAAAGACAGCCAAACTGCTCAGTTCAAAAGGTTGCACCTTGAGAGCAATTAATAGTTAAAATGAAACATACCTTGGCCATGCTTGGTCTTTGTGCTGGTATTTTGTGCCAACATTGTGTCATCAGCTGCTCTATTGGCTCCGGGCATCCCTCTATTAGATTTGGTCTTTGACCTGAAAATTCACAGTTATGTAACTGAAACTCAGGCATCAGCATATTATTAATTCAATTACCCTAAATATTAAAATGATTGTGATAAATACACACAAGTCAACAATAGTAATTTTTTGTCTTGAAAAAATTTTTTGGTCATATCCCTATTTTCTACACTTCGGTTATTAACCACAATTTCTATTGTGATGTAGATATTTTCCATTAAGATCTTTTTTCTTAAAGTTTATCCTGTTTTCACACACACACATAAATACAGGGTCTTAGTAGCAGGTTAGGATAGTAGCACTGAACTCTTCATTTCCATAAGCAAGAGTAACCAATTATGATAGGTGACCCAATTATGACAGTAGGCTTCGAGATGTGATTCTCAGTTTGATCCACTTTATAATCAAGCAAGTGTGAAATTTTTAACACACAGTCAATCGAAACTTGCTCGCAACCATAATAGATTTCTTGAAATTTAATAGCACGAATTTTTTTGTCATAATAAGCATATTGGATGAAAATTAGTAAGTTTTACCGTAATATCTAATCAACAGTCAACTATTGTATCTTCACTAAATAACAATTTAAATAACAGATCAAACCTGTATGCACCGCCCACATTATTCTATATGCAGAACCACCTTCTTCAAATGGTTTCCTCCTAGATAATACCTCCCACAGTATTATCCCCCATGAGAACACATCACATTTTTCTGTGTATGTCGATCCTTCAAATACCTGAAAAACATTAAACAGTAATGTTTTAAAAGCTTTGAATTATAATCTTCCTATTTGTTTATTTCTTCTATCTGATATAAGGTATTGTAGTTAAATAATATCTAAAAGCTTAATGATTTAAATTGTTGTTTGTAGTTTAAATTTTAAATTCAGCTCAGCTTAAAATATTTCTATACGCTAAACAATTTGCTGAGTAATTTGTAATTTCACCTTTTCTTATTGAATGAATGAAATTAAAGTTATTTTGGTTTGGTTTCAATACCTATTAGTACTTTCAAATTTTCCCTTTTATAATCCATGTAATTAAGTTTCATAATGGCTTTTATTTTTATAAAAAAGTTATAAAAGAAAATATTGATTTTATTTTCAGTACTCTTTTTCAAAGATAATGTTTGTCCTTATAATTTTAAATTACTATTACATGCTGGTAATAATATTATAAAACTGAATGAAGCAGCAAAAGTAACAAACACAAAATAATAGTTATTTCATTTTCATCTTCATTATTCCTCAAGTTTAGTTTATACATATAGTTTAGAAGTAAAGTTCAATTATTGCATTACACTGTTTTTCGAATACAAACCTCAGGAGCCATCCAAGCAGCACTGCCTTTATTATTCGTCATGTATGTTGCCTTATCAGCTGCTGTGCCAAAATCACAAATCTTCAGGCGTTGCCCTCCACCCACTAATAATAGATTGGGTGGTTTTAAATCCCTGTGTATTAATGGTTTTGGTTTCATGGAGTGAAGGTATGCTACACCCTAAAACAATGGTTATTTTAATCCATTGCAGAATTAAAAATAATTTTGTATTTAAGATAATACTTAATATAATACACTGGCTTTTGTATTTTGACGATCAATAGTAAATTATTACCTCAGCGCACTGGCGGGCCCAGCTCATTGCATGTGCTGCTGTGTATTTGGGTTTGGGTCGGTTGTGTAGTACATTATAGAGAGAGCCACCTTCTGCATACTCCATGACGAGGCATACGTGAGCACCCCGCGTGCACGCTCCGTACAATCGCACAATGTTTGGGTGACATACGCGAGATAACTGGCGTACCTCGATCGCAAATTCACGTTTCTCCGCCTCTGAATTTATGTGCTTTACCGCTACAAATCTGTTCCGCCATACACCCTTCCAGACAACACCGAAGGCCCCTTTCCCTACGACCTGTCGAATTTTTAAGAATCTCAGAACATGCTATTAAAAACTTTGATTTTGTCAAAACGTATCTGTGTCCAAATATTTACCGAAAGCTCCTGTATTTCACTGTAATCAATCTCCTCCACAAACGTCTGCTGATGAACTGGCGAGTCTTGCACATTGGAACTATTGGAAGCCATTGGTACACTTATTATCACATTATCAATATGACTAGAAAGATTATACAAGCCTTATGTGTTACAAACTAATAAGTTTTCTTTATAAATTGGTAAAAATAGTTGGTTATCTCAATTTCTTCAGTATTGTTTGGCAGAAAAAAGCAACTGCGACAAGGCCGCCATCTTTGAAACTGTAGAACAAATGTCATATTTCGATAGAGATGTGCCGAGCTTCATTGTTGACATTGATCTATCGGTAGGATTTACAAAAAAACTCTGGTTTTTACACTTTGAGTACAGAAATAGCATTTAATTAATAATAATAATAATATGCCAAATTAATTAATTATTTAAGTTTTTTTCCGAGAATGAAATGTTTATTTCTCCCGGATTAGTTATGACCATTTTTTTAAATATATTTTTCTGTTTAATGGTTGTTTTTATCCTCATCATTATATAAAATCTTCTACATTTCGAGCCTGTGTTGTTCAAGATTGGCTATAGCTTACAGTTTATTTACAGTTTTTACCGTCTGCGAGTCACATTGAAGGCGAAGACAGTTGTATCTGGGAGCTCCTTCTTTTTGGTCGTTCCCTCAATGCTGAGGATCGTGACTGTATGTCAATCTTTTCCACTCGGTCCGGTTCTGCGCCATATGTACCGCTCCCCATATCTGGGAGCTCCTAGATCCATTCATCTCTTGGTTAGAAATACTAAAAACCTAGAGTTGGTTTCTCTGATATGTAGGTATGATGTTAAAGTACGAAGCAGTTAATATTTGAGACCGTGGAGGTCTTACACCTTAAAGATGAAATTAAGGTTCAAGACACCTCAATTTCAATATTTAAAATTAATGCAGTTAGAGAGGATATTGAGTCATTATCGAATTTTAATTTCGCTGGTTTAAGGGAGGTCGTACTTGCACATAATCATAAAACGCAGCGGTCTAGGTAAAATCGTTATGCAGTAGGGTCTTTGAAGAAATCGCAACCCTTCCATACTTTAAAAATTACTCTTGCGACATTTGGTAGTCTGCCTATATAAGTTGGAATAACTTACGATTTAGCTATGATATATAGGTAAAAACAGTTTTGCCGGAGAAACAGGCAGAATGATGATAAGGACCTGTGCGTGCTTACAGTACTCTTTACCACAAAAATACAGCATAAGATATAAGGGGAGAGTTGGCGAAAATATTGGAAAATATTAAAACGAGTCTTTTAAAGTATTATATATTGCTTTTAAAAGAACACAAAACGTCGACTAAATAGCTTAGAGTCTAATTACCAAATAAACAGTGTTAGCTAATTTCATCAATTTCGTTCAACGTGTCTAAGCATTCGCGTACAAAATCACAGTCCAATTCTTTTAAGCACTGAAGGGCTTCTTTACATCCAAATGTATTTGCCACTTCTTTGGGAGTTTCGTCTCTGTGGTTCGTCAAACTTAAATCTGCTCCTAAATTTAATAATAGCTTTATTAATTTACAATTATTGCTCATGGCTGCGAAATGAAGTGCTTGTCGTCTGCCTGGTGCTTCAGGGTCGTTCACCAAGGCGCCTTTTTCAATCATTAATCTTATTATTTTCTCATCTTCTTCTGATGGTTCACACATCATTAAAAATTCTGAAATTAATAGTGACGAGCTGTTAGCCACCATGACTCGTTTTTTTGTCCCATGTGTGAATACCACCCATCCACCCTCTGATGGTGAGTCTGACCGTCATCCTCTCAAGGACGTCAGCAATGCCAAGGGCAGAGCGAAACCGCTGTATGCTGTTGCAAACCTCTCTGCAAGCCTCGTTTGAAGAAGTATATGTCATATGGCTTGTAAAATACCGTGGAGGGGAGTTCATTTCAATGATAAACGATATGTGGCATAAAAGATCTCTGGAGATGCACTGTGGATGAGCGCTGTGGTTCTAGGTAGTATGGATGAACTGTTTTGGTGGCGGTGGCGGTGGCGGGAAAATGTGTGAATACGGTCCACGAAGGGTTCGCGATTTCCATGGAAGTCCGCAAAGTCCAGTCCTACTAGAGCCTCTGCCCGCTTCGGATGAACATATTGGAACCTAAAGAGTGGTATATCAATGCGGCCGGAAACAGTCAGGTGGAAGGAGTCATTCCTGAGTCCGATGATAAGAAAATTATCTCTGGAAATAGAATATAGATGTAGTGGCACTTCGATCATCTCTTCTACGACGCTCTGTCAATACAGTAAAACACTTGCTTTCAGTGCCCAAGTAGCCACAAAATTCGTCATTAAAAGGCGAACGGATAAACAGACTTGTACACTTATTGTACAGTCTAGATACCAATTGGTATGAGATCACTATCACCTTAACTTTCCATCTGGTTTTGCTAAGTATAAAACTATAGTCGACATAATAAAGTTTAATACTAACGAAGAAAAAGTCCTGTATCTGTAGGCTCGACTCTTGGTAGTATTTTTGCACCATGATCAAACAGCAGCATCGCAATTTTCAAAGACGGACTAGAAAAAATTAAAATTGAAATCGCATCTACATATTATTGTTTTTTGTGCTAATATTTTCTTTCAATTTGTTTTACCTTTTCATAAGGCTAAGCGAAAGGGGCGTCATCCCAACGTTATCCTTATGATTAGGATTTACGCCAGCGTCTAAAAGTAAAGTAATCGCATGTTCATTGTCAGAACACACAGCCAAATGAAGCGCATTTCTTCCAAGATGATCCATTTGCTGAATGTTTTCGCCTTGCCTTAAATAAAATACAATCTGTGTACCTACTCATATAAGAATTAATAATATGGTTTTTCATTGCAGTAATGCTTAACATTGTGTAACACTACGCGATATTGCAGAAACTTGATAAGATCATTGTTTGTAGGTACGTACTTTATATATTTATCCAGTAATATATCATCACCAAGCTCTGCAGCGATTAAAAACTCATTATCTCTATGTAGGAATTCTAGAGCTATTCTTAATTTCATATCCAATTCACTGCGTAATAAGGAATCTGCTGCTTGTGTTGGAGACTTTTGCGACGCTTGCGAAATGGTGGGTGATGAAAAAACACCAGATAAGCTCCTTGAAGCTTCTGTGTAGATACATAAATATATATAAATCATGCATCATAATGGATTTTATTAACAATTCATAGTGGTTAAATTATGATAAGCAACTTTTCTTGATAAGTGAATGCAAGCATGCATGGATATTAAGTCAATTTATAATAAGTGAACGGTTCATTCTATTCCATCGGTTATTTCTCATTTTAGCCCAGTTTTCATACAAGACTAAGGCTCTGCTTGGCAAACTGCTATTTTTTCGCTACAAAGAATATTGTTTTGTACGATACATTCAAGTTACAGATAGTGGATAGAAGTTTTTTAACATGACCCTCGGAGAAAAATAGGCCCAACAAAAGTTATTTCCCCTTTTGCATTATATTTCTGAGAAGTTAACAGGTAAGCAACAAAAGGTGGAAAATAAAGTATAGCGTACGTATGCATAGAAATAAACAGAACGTCAAAACATGTATTTATTAATTTAGAAAAATGAACATAAACTTTTATGACATAAATAAAAAGAGCTACATACCTACTCGACACAATCTAATATAATAATTTTGGGATTAATTGTTTTAGAAATTATCTCATTGATGTCCTACTTACTACTACTACTTGACATTTTATTTTTTATTTACAATTAGTTTTATAATTTTCGAAATTTAATTCATTTTTAATTCGTTCTCACAAACGAGTTTCTGCATTTATTGGAACGAAGTTCCTTATTTTTAATATTACAGCATTTACTTTCGCAATGCTTTGAAACACCGTAGATTTAATATTTTCCTTAATTCAGTACCTGATAAGATCAAGATTTCTTGATTGTCATTGAGAGAAGAGTTTTCTTTTATTTCATTTTTATTGAACATTTCGTTGGTCAAAAATCCGTTTTCTAGCGACGATTCTGCAAGTTGATCCTTTTTTATAAATACAGCAGCTCTAGATTGTGCTTTCTTTTGGGCGGGGTGATCGATGATTAACTTTGTTTGCTTACATACCTATGGTTAGCTTTTCCAGCTTATCAACGAAATTTTCATAATTATTATCGATTATCATATTTTTAGAATCCACTGGAATGAATTTAGGACTATGGATTATATTTTCCCAAGGACAAAAATCAATCTCCCATGTATTTTCACTAGAAACAAGAGATTGGCAATTATTTGTTCAATAAATCAGAACAGCGTACGTTCATCTGTTGGACTCTTATTGTTCCGAGATATTGATTGCCGATTTATACAAATTCTTATAGAGATTGAGCGCGATTAATATTCATTTGTTGTATTACGAAAATATCTTTTATGAATTTGTACCTGCTATATGTGACTGTTAATAATTCACGTTCAGCTTGTAATATTTTTTGAGTGTGCATCAAATCTGTGATATGTTTTGGTAATAATTGACCAGAGTAAACGTAACTAGCCAAAGAAATAATTAAATCTTTGGTTAGGCGAGTCACAAATATTTTACCGTAATTTAGAAACCAAAGAAATGTTTTGTACTTTGTCTTTAAGTCTGTATCTTCTTCCAAGCTCTGGGATTCCAGAAGGTAGCTATTTCGCAACGAAATATCTTTGTCTATAAATTTCTGGCTGTCATTCATATTATTACTTACATTTAAACTTAAGATGTAAAATTAATACCAAATTGCACAAATCAATTGAGGAAACAATGTTACATTTCTGACATATACAGAAACTGACGCATTAAATTCATTAATTTTTTTTAATAAATTCCTAATCGTGAAAACCAGTAAGTGCTGAGGTCCTACAAAAGAAAAAAAAATACGGGAATCTTCTAGAAACACCCTTGCCTATTTACTAAAATTTAACCATTTCTTTAAAATTTAACTATTTTAATTCTATTTTCATATTCGGTCTGTGAGTACGTAAGCCGAATATTATTTCGTAGGAGAATTAAAGTTGCTTGTTGGATAATAAAGAGTTTATGTTAAAGTTGGAATCTCGTAAGACGAGGATTCTTATTTTTTTGGAGATTCACTGAATAATATGTTGGAGAGGCCAATATTTTACATACAAGTGATTCAATGTTAATTTATCTAATCATTATTTTATGTTGGAAAATTAATTTGAAAATTTTTAAATGCCAATCACCATTCAAAATATGTTAAGCCGACAATTACGGATTGGTCAGAGAAGCTCCACAATTTTTTTTTATTTTTTTATTCTATACAGTAAGCTGTCGTAAGACATTCAACCGTAGTTTTGATAAAAATAATTTCGGCGGTGCATGCACAATGTCCATTGACATGTCAATTAATCTACAGTAGATCTAGTAGATCTTGAGGCACTCTTCTTCTGAGTCTTCTTGTAGTCATTAGGTTGTCCATTAAATGCTTAGCAAGGTTATTCGGATGGGCTTCCAATCTTACACAATATGCTTTAGCTCGATGGATTACTTCATGTTTGACTTTTCTTATGGCAAGATCATAATGGATTCTTTCATTTGTAACATACCATGGTGCGTTCACTATCATCCTGAGCGTTTTTGATTGANTTTTGTTCTGTGCGCGGTGTGAGAACTCGCATTGTCGTGATGGAGGATGATGCGGCGGTTGCAGTTCTCTTTACGGAGTTCAGAAACGACCTGTGGCAAACAAATGCTAGCATACCATTCTGCATTAACCGTTCTTTGTCCCTCAAGAGGAATAGTCGTAACATGGCCGGTTTTGGAGACAAACGTGGCCACCTTTTTTTTGCAACACTCCGTGAACGAACAATTTTTGTTGGCTTTAACTCATTTTCGAACACCCACACCCGTGACTGGTTTTTTGTTTCGGGTTCGTACGCGTATATCCAGGATTCGTCACCTGATACAATGCTGTATACAGCATTTGAGGATCCTGCGTGGAATCTTTCGAGAGTTCTGACGCACCAAGTAACGAGAGCCGCTTTTTGCTCTTCACAGAGCGAATGCGGTATCCATCGGGAAAACAACTTTTTTACACCTAATTGTTCATGCAAGATTATTTGTATTAAATTCATGCCAATGTCTAAAGTTGCCTGAATTTCGCGGTATGTCACATGTCGATCTTCTTCAATCAGCTTACGCACAGCATCAACGTTTTCTTGGGTGACTGCAGTTTTTGGACGACCTTGAAGGGGATCATCACTGAGCTTGACACGTCCACGTTGAAACTCAGCAAACCAGCGATAAATTGTGGTTTTGGATGGGGCTTCATCACCAAATGCAGAAATCATCCGGTCAACACACTGTTTTTGTGTTAAGCCACTTCGAAAGTCATAATAAATCATCGCTCTTGAATTTTCTCGAGTCAATTTCATTTTCTCAACGACTAAACAAATTTGACAAAACCTCGTGACAAGACCGAGAATCTTTTTTAAAATAAATAAATGGTATTCGATTTTTAAAACCAAGGAGTTTTCAATTAAAAAGATTTTAATATGACAGGAACAGTTCAAATATTCCATTCCCGATACTTTTAGTGCAGCCTAGTAAGTAACTATGTACTAAGTTTCATGTTTGCGACGTTGTAACATCAATTTTTAGATAACAAACGCTCATGTGTCATTGTATACTGAAATGTTGATTTCTATCTGTTTACAAATGAAAGATTTACACGATCGCGAACGATATATCGCACCTACAGAATTAAAGTGGCTTAAACCAAAATTCTTATTTTTTTTTTGTAGTTAACTCCAAAAATATAATTGAAGAATTGTAATTGCTTAGTTTTCGATTTTACTTTTAGATATTATGCGTCCGATTTAAAAGAGACGAAAAGAGTAGGTACTTTGTCCTTTTCTAGACTAAAAGAGATTGTTTCATTTTATAAACTAATAGGTTAAATATTTGTAAGTCGTTCGACTTATTTAAAAACTGATTTTCTTAAATTTTTTTAGTTGTTGCTTCAATTCGAATGGTGTGATATGGATTTTCGAACGTATAAGGTGTGATTATATCGTGTTAAGTTTGGACGAAAAATAACAATGAAATAAATATTATATAAATAAGGGTTTTTTTTCACTACCTGAACTGATTACCTAGCGGTTATGCCAGCATGGCATATGCCCATAAGCAGTAGGTGAGCTCACGGGGCTCTGACCAGAGGACGTTTCTAACACTAAACCTAGCAAGAGCAGTGATTCGCAGAATCTACCACCGGATCGGAAACGCGACCCACTGAGAAGATCGGGTGAGAAACTCAGTGGGCTGTGTATGTGGGTTAATTCGCTCGTCGAGCCCTTCGTCGCAAGCGATGGATTCTAGGAGAACGATGACCGGTGCTTGAGATACCCAGAAGCACCGACAGTGAATCGGGAGGATCCGAAATGACGTGTTTTAGGCGACGTCGACTGCTTACCATTCGATCCGCAGAACTGGGCATATAGTTTCCGGCGGCTACGACAAGAGGGTTTATCGCTTTTTGGAAATGGCGCACTGATGCTGACTGAAAGATGCTTATTGATGGAGTCTAACTCCAGGTCATCGTGAAGATCTACCTTCCTCACGAACCACGGTGCTCTGATGGCCATCCTGCAGACAAAGGATTGGATGACCTGAAGAGAGTTAATGTGTGATGGGCCGCGTGAGCGAACTCTACACTATGCAAGTTTAATATATGCAAGTTTTGTAGAGAGTTCACTCTGTTTAAAACTGCTATATTCACATCATTACCACTTCCTACACTAGCGCTATTTCGATGAGTCTTCCAACAATAGCATGCTGGTTACAGACGGACACTCTTTCTATTTGTCCCCTATACAAGAGGGAGCTCCATACCTCTACCCTCCATAGATTAACGTCAAACAAAAACGATTGAACTTTAGCCCGGGCAGAGGGATTTCCCCGAGGTCCGTCCCGCGCCCCCGTAAGGGGACGCGACGACCCGATAGTAGTAGTAGTAGTAGACCTTGAGAGCAAGCATACCTGTTCATCGC